AAGGGACTTACATGTTTATGCATTAAATAAAAATATGTTCCACTACCAGCCTTATTTAATAAAAATCAATGTAAAGAAAAAAAAAGATATAACATGATAGGTAAGGGAGATAATTATGTGCATAAAATCATTTTCTTCCCCGTTTCCTTCTCAAAATGAACTTGGTGTTGAAAATGGTAGGAGTGGTGGTGAGTAACTATAAACTTGAAAGAATATGATTGATTCTTTTATGTATTCATTCAGCAAATTATTAGGTTCTTACTATGTTAATATATCTGTCCTGTAATTTCTTAAACAGGACCTCTTCCTCCTGATGTTTTATGAAACTTTATTGTCACTCATGTCATTTTCCTGAGTGAGGCACTCAATGGAATGGCCCAATTTGTATAAAATCACTTATCAGGAGTGACATAGATCAGGAATTTGTAACTTCACTAGTAAAATGGGTACCAAAGTGAGCAGCCATCATTTCTTCTTCTTTCTGCTCTATCAATTTAATCTTAAAACTATGAGTTGTGGCCAGGAGCGGTGGCTCACGCCTGTAATCCCAGCACTTTGGGAAACTGAGGCAGGCGGATCATGAGGTCAAGAGATCGAGACCATCCAGGCCAACATGGTGAAACCCCATCTCTACTAAAAAAATACAAAAAATTAGCTGAGCATGGTGGTGCACGCCTATAGTTCCAGCTACTCAGGAGGCTGAGGCAGGAAAATTGCTTGAACCTGGGAGGCAAAGGTTGCAGTGAGCCAAAATCATGCCACTGCATGCCAGCCTGGTGTCTCAAAAAAAAAAAAAAAAAAACAACTATGAGGTTGCTACCTATGGATTTGAATGAAATAAAGCATTTAATTAAAATATATATATGAGCATATATAACTGACCTTTTACAGCAGTGGTTCTCAAAGTGTGATCCCAGGACCGGCAGCATCAGTATCACCTGAGCACTTGCTAGAAATGCAGATTCTCAGGCCATCCCAAACGTGCCAACTCAGATTCTGGGACTGGACCCAGCAACCTGTGTTTTCATAAGCTCCCATGGGGTTCTGTTACCCCACTGCTGTAAAGCTTGCTGAGGCTGCTGGGATGCATCAGAAGAAAACAGGGAAGACGAGGCAAAGAGAAAACCTCTTAGTGTGAAGCCGATTATCTCAAGATGATGAAACAGGTTTCATTTCTTGTCCTATAACAAGGAAAGCTTTCATAATTGCTCAGAAGTATTTTATACACCACCTCAGATAAAATACTTTTGATTGTCAAAGGACTATTAGGGCCATTATATTTTCTGTCTCCTAAAATTAATGTGGGACCAAATATTTTGAGAGTTTCTGACTGGGAGCGGAAAGAAGTAACTATTTGAAAACCAAAATTTCTTTATTTGCATCTCTCCTGAAGTCAGAGATGGTCCAAAGCATTTCCATCTGAGGTTTCATATTAATATTTTTAATGAGGAAACAGAAAGTGTGAGAAGCAATTTTTTAAATAGAAATTTTATTACTTTCAAGTTCTTCATTCAAAAGTAACCTATATTTGATGCTATTCTAATTTTTATTGTTTTGTAAGTATTGTGAGTAATCATCTCGAATAATAAACTTGTGAGCTGTGGAAACACATAATAAATAGAATGTCCTAAATTCTTAAGTACAAATTTCAGTAATGAACAGCCCCACAAACCCCTATCAAAGCCAAAAGTCAAGCTAAGTTATCTGAAGTTTTTGCACTTTACATACAAAAACACCATACAGACCTTTTTAAATGAAATACTTTCTCTTTGTGATAGCCTGTGTGGCCAAGAAATCACACCCAGGAGTACTGCTCAGTAGCCATCACGCTGGATACAGACCCCAGGGTCCAGAAGTCAGAATGTGCTTAGGCACTGCTGCTTGGTTTTATCAGAGCTTCTCAAAACATTCATCTTAATGTTATTCTGGGGTCCTCATGTTGTTTTATTTATTAGAACCATCTAGAGGGACAACTTTTTATTATTCTATATTTATCATTATCCATTAATATGGCTCTTACCCTACTGTGTTCACATGTAAGAACACAGTACAAAATAGATGCACAAGCAAAATCAACAGGTGTCAGTATCTCCGATTCAACAGGTGCTAATGTGAAAATAATGATAGCTACAAATTAAACAGCTGGTGCTATGCCAGCTTTTTTTTCTTCTTTAATGTGAATATAAACAGATCTGTGCTATGTATAGATTTACATCTAATCAGATGAGGTCTATGTAAAACTGTCCTTCTGATCATCTATACACATTTATTCACTATCTTGGATTATAATAACTCATTCACTTCATCTTTCCTAATCCCCATTCATCATTTCTTTATCATATAAGACTATCTTGAAAATGATGGCCCAGATGGCTGAAGAGTGAACATTTCAGCATATTTGGATGCTAATTTAGCTAAATTAATAGTGACCAGGAGTTCTAATATTCTGTTTCATTAGTTTGCTCTTGCTGAAGGATTCTATAAAATAAAATATGAAATACAATTTTGTTTCCAATTCCATTCACTGAATTTTTATTGCTCATGTACTATAGGCAATATCACATTTCCTTCTGTCTCTATTAACCTTGTAGCTAATGATTCATTACCGGGGATAGTTGAAGGGTCAGTTAACTTAGTCCTCTGGATTTCATTGAGAAATTAATGGAGAACTGGTAGGACTTAATTGAGAAAATTAATAGAAGGGATTGTTTTCATATGGCATCTGAGAAATGAAAGCCTGCTGTTGACTTGGTCTTCTGTCAGTTAGCACTTTCTGTCACATAGAAACTAGTATGACATTATAAACTATCCTAAGAATTTGATGAGTCTTTTTACTTATGAGAAAAAAAGATAATCTCATGCACTGGGTTGACCAGTTGTTTCTTCCAATTGACTGAAACAATCAGGTGTTCTGAAATCACATTATTTGATTTGTCTAGAAATACGGGCAACATGGGTCTTAGAAGCCACAGGCAACCAGTAGATTTAGGAAAGCAGTCTCATAAAGCTTGCTCAAAACAATCTAAGCACCTGATAAATTTCATATACAAAAGAAATAAACATGCCGTAGTACAACAATTGAATTATGAGAAAGTAAAGTTGTGAAAATATTACAATAATCTAATTGTCAAATGTAGATTAAATAAAATATAGTCAGCATAAAATGAAATATTAAACATATTCACCTTGTTATACCATAGATGACATGTGAAGAGATCTGTACTATCTTTAAGTTAAAAAGCAGACTATACTACAGTATTTCAATATGACTCAATATTTCAGTAAAATACATGTGGTGTGTTTATACATGTTCTCTAAAAGGTCCTTAGAGGTCATTAAATTTATTTAGGTCATATTTTCTTTTCTTCTCTTGTGTTTTTTAATTTATTTTCTTGCAGAGTAAGTCTCACTCTGTCACTCAGGCTGGAGTACAGTAGCATGATCACTGCATCCTCAAACTCCTGGGTTCAGGCCATCCTCCCACCTCATCCTCTCCAGTAGTTGGGAGAACTATGAGTCTGTGTGCCACCATACCGTAACTGGCTAATTTTTCCTTTTTTTTTTTTTTTTTTTGAGATAGGGTCTTATTTTGTTGCCCAGGCTGGTCCTGAACTTCGACACTCAACTTATCTTCCCATCTCGGCCTTCCAATGTGCTTGGATTACACACATGAGCCACTGTGCCTGGCCCACATTTTCTTTTTAATCATTTTATTGTTTTAATTATTTCTTCACTGATTGTGTATCACTATGTAACAATAATAAAGCAATACATATCATTTGAATTCATACTTCAAAAAATATATATTTTTTCCTCCTGAGTAGCTAGAACCATAGGCACTTGCCGCTCACCAACCCGCCCAGCTTTTTTTTTTTTTTCGTGGTAGAGATAGGGTTTCCATATGTTGCCCAGGCTGATCTCAAACTCCTGGGCTCATGGGATCCTCTCACCTCAGCATCCCAAACTGCTGGGATTACAGTTGTGAGCCAATGTGCCCATCTGGTTTTATATTTTTAATGAGGCACATCTCTCAGGATATGGTTGCAGAAAAGTCCAAAATTTTTGACAAAGCCAAATAAAATATCCCTAAGAGTCATCTTTAAGCAGATCTGTTGTTTCTCTGGAAGTGAGCTTCATGCGTGAGGAACTCCCCATTATTTGGCAGAGTTTGCCGTATGTTGTTCTTGTAATGTTTGCTGCTCCTCTCTCTTGGCATTAAAGATTATTGTAGTTTTCAGTGTTTTCCCTATTGCTTCTTGCTCTTCTTTAATGGATGTCAGTATTTCTGGCTATGGAATCCTAACTGCTGCGTAAGTGAAAGATAGTCCTCAATTTGTGGACAGCATGAAGTCCTAAATGTTTGTTCCTAAGTTGGCGGCTTCCATCTCAAAATGCATTTTCTCATAAAAACCATTATCCACTGTCGCTATGTTCCAAAACCTGTAACCCACATATACTTGGAAACTGTCATTGTTCTAATGGGGAAAGACCAATGGAAGCTTAGCCAGCATATGTAATGGGTGTTCAGTGGATTGGCTTGGGCAGCTAGATATGAAAGACTCCTCTGACACATTTACTTCCCCACTTTTATCCCCCTGTTTATAATAAACCATGGGAGAGTGGCCTCCTGGTCTCTGGCAGCAACTTCACCAATCAGGGTAGGGCAGGGGCTGGGGAAAGAACAATGAGAAGATGGGAGAGTGACCTCAGAGGTGAATCATCCAGGCAAAGGGCCAGGCTCTGAGGGTTAAAGCGCAGCTCTCGGGGCTAAGTCTCCAGGGACATGTCTTGATTCTGAAACAAAAGCTAGGAGGCTGATTCCTAACTCAGCTGCTCAGCAGCTGGGTGACCAGATGCCTCAGCTTCTTGGGGGCCCACCATAAAGTGAACTGCAACCACCCATCTGGCTTTCTCTTGCTCTCTCAACTTGAACTTAGCTTACTTTTGATTCTCTTAGGATTATCACTGCTCAGAAAACAAGAAAGATGGTGACAACAACATTAATAATGCCCAATTATATTTACCTACAGTTCTATAGATTAGATTACCAAGGTACTTTATAGTCATAAACTCATTTGTCCAGAAACTCACAGGAATTATGTAAATTTCCTGATTTTCTTGTCAATTTTAAGAACAACAACATCACAGGTGTATAAAATGTAAAACTTACGACAGGACTCTTTGTCTTCAATAATCCATTTCCATTGCAAACCATCTTCAGACTTTTGTTGGTGGTTTATCCAAGGACATGGGGTTGTGTGGAGTAGACTGAAGAAGAGGAGAAAAGAAAAGGCATCATTGATGCTTCCGCGATGCCTCTAGGGAGGGAGGGAGAAGAAAGATGAAAGAGACGGAGAAGAGAGAGCATTCCTAGAGTTAAGCCTCCTTCTTTCTGTGGGTCAGACTTCTCAGAATCGAAGATCCAATGGAAAGAACAGACGAAAAATGAAGGTAGAAAAAAGGTCTTTTGACCACTTATGTTCAGGTGGCCTTTTAGAATATAAAGTAGTTTGGAAATTGTGTATATGATGGAGAGTGTTGGCAGTACTAAACCACTTGCAGGGCAGCTTTTACTCCATATTACAACCATCTCCCTGGGGTTGGTTGGAACTATTTCCTCACTTCACAGAGTCCTACCACTGCTTAGTCACTGACTGTAGACTGCTGTGTATCCAAGCTGCTAGTCTCTCATTAATGATGTAGAAAATATGTTGACTGCAATCACACATTTGCTCTTATCATGTAATGATACCATTTATTATGGTAATATTCCCAGCACTTAAAGAATCGGGTCAATCTTCAGCTTTTCTAAGAAATGGAATTCCAAACAATTTATGTGTGTACATGGGAAAAGATTCATGGGCACACGTGGAATGTGGAGATGCTCCAGAAGGCTGAATGAAGACAGCTGGTGTATTTGTTTAAGGCATACAACTAAGATGGAAAACAAATTCAGAAAAATGGTTTGGAAAGCTGCCTCAAACTTCCACCTCTTTGTTCTTCTGTGTACTTAGATAGTATATGCACCACTTTGGTTGCATCTAAAATGTGGGGAGGCACAAAAAAAAAATTCATCTGAATTATCCTAGACCAGCTTCTCAAGGTGTAGTTATAAGTTCACACTTGTAATCCCAGCACCTTGGGAAGCTGAGACCTGTGAATCACTTGAGTGAGGAGTTTCAGACGAGCCTGGCTAACATGGTGAAATTCCATCTCTACTAAAAATACAAAACAATTATCTGGGCATGGTAGTGCACACCTGCGATTTCAGCTACTTGGGAGGCTAAGGCAGAAGAATCACTTGAACATGTGAGGCAGAGGTTGCGGTGAGCAGAGATCATGCCACTGCACTCCAGATTGCCCAAAGATTTTAGGTTGATTATAAAGCAAAATGGCAACTGGTATGATTTTAAGTGCTAAGTATTTTTGAAAAAAAAATAGTGAGGGATTGAGGAAAGTTTAAAGCCTTTTGTGACGAATGGATGTGGATTTGAATCTATGATTCAAATCCACATTTGAATGTGGGCAACAGAGGGAAACTCTGTCTCAAAAAACAAACAAACAACAACAAGAAAACTGCAATACTTGCAAATAATACCTGGGACCCACCTCAAATCTTCTGGGTAAGAATCTCTCTGAGGGTGGTTCCCAGAATCCATATTAATAACAAACACCCTGAGGAAACTTAATGTGTACCAAAAATTGAGAAACACTTAATGTTTATCAAAAATTTACGGCAGGCTGGGTGCGGTGACTCACGCCTGTAATCCCAGCACTTTGGGAGACCAAGGTGGGCGGATCATGAGCTCAACAGATTGAGACCATCCTGTCAACATGGTGAAACCCCATCTCTACTAAAAATACAGAAATGAACTGGGCGTGGTGGTGCACACCTGTAGTCCCAGCTACTCAGGAGGCTGAGGCAGGAGAATTGCTTGAACCCAGGAGGCGGAGGTTGCAGTGAGCCGAGGTCCGGCCACTGCACTCCAGCCTGGCAACAGAGCAAGACTCCATCTCAAAAAAATAAAAAAATTACAGCAGAAACATCCAGTCCTCTATTATTAATTGTACCAATTTGTCTTGTTTATATTGTGTGAAATTTTGGTTGACTATTCCAAGCATTATAACAGATATTTTTGTGCTTATATTTTTTTCTTGAAATCCCATATGTGGAAAAGACATGTTTTTTGGAAGCTTATGATCTAACTTCCTTATTTTTTACATTTTTAGTTATTAGTCATTGCAAATATTTAGAAATCTATTAATAAGAATGTGGTGTTAAATACTTCTGTACCAACCTAAGTGAATTTCTATATGTTAGGTTATATTTTCTCACTAAGTTAAATTAAGAAACAAAATTCTTAGGTACATTGATGCCCTCAACATTATCCAACAAGATATAAAATTTAAAAAGGGTCAACATAATGTTTGCACATTACATGTATTGTATAATATAATATGAAACATCTTATTTAGAAATCTCTAATGACAATCTTTAATCCTTTAAAGTTCATTGAAAGGACATCCAGTTAGGCACATATAGGAAAATATAGTTTTTATCACATATATTCACACACAATGGAATATTATTCAGCCTTTAAAAAGAAGGAAATCCTGCCAATTGTGACAACATGGATGAACCTAGAAGACATTATGCTAAATGAAATAAGCCAGACACAAAAAAATAAATCCTGCATGATGTCACTTCCAGGCAAAGTCTAAGAAAGTCAAACTCATAGAAACAGTGAGTAGAATGGCTGCTACCAGCAGCGGGTGGGAGGAGGAAATGGGGTGGTATTGGGCAAAGGGGACAAAAGTTCACTTATATGATGAATAGGTTCTGAGAACAAATATATAGCAGGATGACTATAGCTAATAGCACTGTAATCTTGAATTTGTATACAGTGTTATTCAAATATGCTTTATTGAATACTTGAAATTTGCGAAGAGAGTTGATCTTAAGTATTCTCACCACATCAAAAAATAAAAAAGTAACTATGTCAGGTGATGGATATGTTAACTAGCTTGCTTGGTTGTGGTAATTATTTCACAATGTATACATATATCAAGCACAGTGTTATTTTTCTTAACATATCTAACATTTTATTAAGATATTAATTTTTATTTGTGATTATACATTAATATAGCTGGAAAAAAGAAGATATAGCTGAGTATAAGTATACTTATTCATAGTTGAGGATATATATTTTCCTACTTTGTGAATAAAGAAAAAAAGATAATTAGGAAGGAAGAGAAGGAGAGGAGAAAGAGTCAAACCCCTAGTGGGAGAGAGTCCAGTTTGGAGGGGTTTTTTGATTTTTTTGTGTTTTGTTGTTGTTGTTGTTTTTGTTTTGAGATGGGGTCTTGCTCTGTCACCCAGGCTGGAGTGCAGTGGCACCATCACAGCTAACTGCAGCCTCAACCTCCCAGGCTCCAGCTATCCTCCCACCTCAGCCTCCTGAGTAGCTGGGACCACCAGTACATGCCACACAGTTTGGAGATTTTGATGCCCAAGCATTACTCAAGCACCAAAAGCCCCATTTGCCTGGAATTTACTGCCTCTAATTTTCCAGTGGCCTCATGAACACCTGGCATCAGTCACATCCACACAGCTTCAAACCTGGCACCTCATACAATCCCAATTGTTTTCTCCTCTGCTTCCCTGAACACTTAGCTTGCAAAACATGTCTTTTTTAAAAGCGATTTTAATGATGACCTAAGATTCTATGCTGACCTGGAGTTGGCTTATTTGTTCCCTGTCATATCTAGAAGAGCACAGCCCAATGTCTCCCGTCTTCACTGCCTCTTTAATCTTCATTTCTTCGGGGTTCACTAAGTTCCTCAGTCAGGTACAAAGGTGGAGTCATCCTGATTATCTGCTAGTTACCAATTTGGGCAGAGAAGGTATGTTAGTGACTGATGAAACATTTTGAAGGACAGATTCACTTAGCATAAAGAAAGCTAAAGCCAGAGGTTGGGTAAAACAAGCAAACAAACAAAAAACAATTTAACCAATATCTAACACAAAAAAATAATATTTCCTGATTTACTTCTTTAGCGTTTGCTGCATATTAGGCCCTATAATGTTCTTTATATGGATCACTATTATAAATTTTCATCATAACCTGGTTAGCTGGATATCATCACCCCACTATTAAAGACCATACAAGATGTGGTGGAGAATGTGACACACTGACAAAGCTGGCAAGTGGAAAATCTAGGATTCAAATCCACATCCATTCGTCACAAAGGCTTTAAACTTTCCTCAATCCCTCACTATTTTTTTACAAAAATACTTAGCACTTAAAATCATACCAGTTGCCATTTTGCTTTATAATCAGCCTAAAATCTTTGCCGAAACTAGGCCACCTCTAAATTGCTTGAGGCTCATTTCAGCTGCCTTATCTGCTCACCTGCTGTTATGGCTTATCCACAGTATCTTCTTCTTTTCTGCTGTGTTATTTTAATTTTATTTTTTTGAGATGGAGTCTCACTCTGTCATTCAGGCTGGAGTGCAGTGGCGCTATCTCTGCTCACTACAATCTCTGCCTCCCCAGTAGCAAGCTTTCTGAGTAGCTGAGATTACTGTGCCACCATGCCTGGCTAATTTTCACATTTTTAGCGGAGATCAGGTTTCACCATGTTGGCTAGGCTGCTCTCGAACTCCTGACCTCAGGTGATCCACCTGCCTCAGCCTAAGTGTTGGGATTACAGGCATGAGACACCACACCTGGCCTTTTCTACTATGCTCTTTTAATTATTTCTTCAAATTTGTACTGGGCCCCTATCATATGTCACACTGTATCCTTAAAGTGGTCTTTGGTTCACTCAGCTTATGAATATATATTTTTGTGGAAGTTTCTTAGTCCATCTGCTACATTTTCCAAAAGTGTAGATGACTATAATTGCTAAATAACTGTTTTGCAAACTGTGGACCAAACCCCCTCCCCATTAGGGATATCAATTTTATGTTTTGCCACTAGCCTTTATTAAAGTGAAATAGAATATAATGGAAAATACATGCGTATTGCAGATAGTAGAGTGAACTTTACTTTGGAAACTTTCATTTCAATTATATATGGATGTTTCAACACTCATTTGCATTTGTGTTGCAGTGTAAAATGTATTTATTACTCAGGGTCTCAGCCAACATCGTTTGAAAAACACTTCCTTGGACTAAAGGCTTGTAATGTGGAAAATATGTCTTGTTTTTCTATCTTCAATTGAGCACATTGCTGCTGCCCAGTTGGGTGGGTTATTATCTCTAATTTTAAGAGAAAGTTCCCTGCTTGTTGATTCTGAATACCGACTTTAAGGATTGCAAATGTTGTTCTCATGTTCTTAATGTGATTGTCTTTTCCTCCACTTATGAATGCATCAGACAGTGGGCTGCCGGGATAGCATAATGCAGTGACTTTTTGTAAAGGAAAAAAAAAATCTTTCAATAGTAATGCACTCATTTATTCTTTTCCAAAACACTTTTCATCATGTGGACATGGTCTTAGCACCTCGAATGTTAATTATCCACTTCAATGGTACTAGATATTCCTGTGAGGAAAATATATTTGATGAGTAAGACTAGGGGAAAAAGTTCTGAAACATACCTTTTCAATATGATTAGTGCAAGGTCAATTTTGAAAGGTCACATGGTATGAGAACTCCAGGTAAAACCCCAGGTTTGTTGCTCTATCTTACAATTATACGCAAGTTTCTTTTTCTTTTCTTTTCTTTTTTTTTTTTTTTTTTTTTTTTTTTGGTAGAGGCAGGGTCTCGCTTTGTTGCCCAGAATGAAGTACAGTGGTGTGATCTTGGCTCACTGCAGTCTTGGCCTCCCAGGTTCAAGTGATCCTCCCATTTTAGCCTCCTAAGTACCTGAGACTACAAGTGTATGCCAACAGACCCTGCTAATTGTATACTTTTTATAGAGATGAGATTTCACCATATTACCAAGGCTGAACTCCAACTCCTGGGCTCAAGCAATCTGCCGGCCTCTGCTTCCCAAAATCCTGGGATTACAATCATGAGCTACTTGCCTGGCCTATACCCAAGTTTCATGAGTCTAGACTTACAGTTAGTTAAATTATTTGTGGAAATGAATTTCTACATTATAACACGTTATATTTTGGTGACCCAGAAACAAGAATATAATGTGAAATATAGAAAATGCACTCATCTTCCACAATATATCCAAGGGATTTTATTGTCAAGCTCAAATGTATGTCAAGTAGAGAGTGGCTTTGAAGAAAAACTGTGGGTTGGTTGGAGTTGAGAGTAAGACAGGAGAGAATTTTATAATCAGTGAAGGAAACCACAGTCTCAACAGGAAATCAGTGCTAGAAATTGAGCCATCACCACTCCCCAGTGTAAGACTGTGTTAAATATTAGATAAAGGATAAGAATTCACATCTCCTCTGGATCATCATCCAGCCTATCCCCCCAGTGGTAGACAGATTAAAAATAAACTTTGTTTTTGCCTGTGTTTAGTCACAAATCATTTTGGCCCAGAATGGAGTCAAACAGTGTGGATAGAAAAAAAAAATTGCCAAATATTTGATTTATTTAGAACTACTTGCCTTCTGCAGAAAGAGGCTCAATTTGCTTGGGTTGATTATTACTCAATGTTTTCTTTTGCCTTCTCATTCTTTCTGTTGTAAAAAAAAAAAAAAAAAAAAAAAATCTCTGCAAGACCCAATCTAGAAGTGCCCATGGATTCCAAATTGTAGAATTTGAATCTGTGAACAAAATGGGAAAGCTGGCTTTTGAGTTGCATTAACTGAATCCTCATTAGTATTTTGACTACCTGCAACACCAAATCTGGAATAAAGAGCATGATCAGATTGATGAAAGAGTTGCTACAGAAAGTGCAATGAACAGCTCTGAAATCTTGCAGGATTACAGGCTCTCAGTGACCTATTCGGAGCGTAAAATTTTAAGATTGTAAATATTCTTAAAAGCCTTAGTATGTTGAAGCTCGTTCTTCCCCTACCTACTCTCATACACTGACTGAAGCACAATGAGAGATTGTAGGAGACTAACACAGGAAAACCTCCTATATCCAAGGGACACAAGTCCCTCTGTGTTCCCACAGCACCTTGTCCAAAGGATTGACATATCTGTTACACACACTGTGCCCTATCTCATCCTCAGTAATTATAAGATAGACTTGAAACAGAATAAACATGTATCAGTATCAATTAAAATTTTTCTTTACCAAAACATTTTGGTTTATGACTTCATGACTCAGTGAATAAGTCATCTTCTACATGTTGACTATAAACGAAGCTGTTGTTATAATTTATTGTTCTTTTCCCTAGCCACCTGATCTCGCTGAATTCCAAATAGTGGAGTGAAGAAAACCTGATCACCTAAATCTCCAAGACATTATAAAACAGCCATTATATATGTATGTGTATGCATGTGTAGATACACATACATGAGAGAATAAACTAAAAAGCTAATTCTACCACTAAAATGTATCTTCCTTTAAGAAAAACATTCTTCCTTCATCAAAGTCCTACTGATGAGTTTCTGACTCTGAATATAGACATTGCCACCATTTGAAAAAACATCCAGCCATTTGCTTAACATCATGCCCTCTGGCTCCTTGCTAAGAAGAATCATGTGACCACCATGCAACACAAGCTCTCCAAATTATATCTCATATTCTCACCAAAATGTGGTTTTGCAGTTACAACACACCCAGTGAACAGCCCCTGACTGTTTAGGGAGCCTTCCCTGACTCACGTTGGCCTCTGATGAGTTAATATGTGCAAAAGGACTGTACATGTTTAGGTAATTTACTTATTTAAAACATTAAAAGTTTTCGGCTTTTAGAAATTCAAAGAAAAAGCAAAGCAGTCGAATGACTCCTGACCCTAGCTTATCAGATGACGGGTGTCATGCTGTCAAGCCCTCATCGCTGACCATGTAAGGAAGGCCACATTTTAGAGGTGTTTACAGCTGTTTAAGGTTCACACTGCCCATTTGTGTCAACACTAGGCAATGCAGATCACCTAGCCCTAGTGGGGTCGGGCACACAAAAAGAAAAGCAATGTAGATAAATACTTATCTAATTAAGGGTCAAACTCTTCTTTTTTCCACTACTTTTCACATCAGAGGGATCAAACAAAACTGGAGAAAGCAATCTTCCCTTGTACATTTCCCTACATGGTCATCCATATTTCAGAGGCAATTGCTTTAAACATTTAAAGTACTGTAGAACTGTCAACTAGAGAGCCTGAATTCCATAGTTCCCTGGAGAGGTTGGCCACAACTTTTTGCTAAATTAACAAATTATTTGTTTTTTTAGATACCGTATTTTAGGAGGGAAGACCATCACTTGTTCCAACAAAAAGCTTAATAAGCAAGTTGCTGGACTAGTTTTGTGGAGTGTGCAGGCATTAATAGAATACTCCACAGTGTGTATGTGGTGGGCGGCAGGTGTGTGGGTGTGTGTGCATGTGTGTGTGTATGTAGGTGCATGCCATGTGCATCTTTGTTTTATCTAAATTGCAGGCAATAGCCTGCATATAATTGCTCTCTGTCTGGAGTCGCTGTGTCTGGGTTTAACTTAGCATTAAGGGAAAACAAGTGATTCAGGTCACTTCAGAAATCATCATATCTGAAGTGCATTAGAATATTTTGGTTGATTAAGAGGGATGGTTTTGTAACTGAAATATCTGATGTCTCATCTCAGAATTTTCAAATCTATTACTTTGTAAGAGGACCTGAGAGCATCTGTGTGACTGTTGCATGCCTGAATACCTGGAAAACACCTGATTTGTGGGAGTCAATTTTCTTGACAAATAAACTTTTTCTTTATTAGTTTCAGTTTTGTAAAAACATCTCTAGCTAAGGAAATCTTCTGTGTAAATGGTATATCTTGAAGTAATGTCTTTAGCCTGATATAACACTAAATGCCACCTGTCTACCCCAAATCAAAATCTGCAATCTGAATTTTAATTTTTGTTCATTTTACACTCTGATGAGTGTAAGAGTAAGAGTAAATTATTACTCAAAAGTAAATGATTTAGCATTGCAAGTTTATGTACATATATGGGATAGAAAATGCACTCACATTATACTTAGATGCCTAACTTAAAAATTGGCTTCTGTATCTAAACCTTCTCAAGAACGATCCATCTCTCATTTAGCTCCCCAATGTATGGGAAGAGAAAAAAAGTTACTCCCTCCCCCTCCCCAAGATGGTGCCTCTGTATGAAGCTCTGTGTGTCTTCGGAACAGCAGGAATGAGAGGGATCAGAGTCACAGGGGACTCTGGATACATCTGGTGTCTAATGAGGGTTGGCTGGTCTGGCTGATGGCCAGATAGGCAGGAGGTCCTGTCTCACCTGCTCACGTGTCAGGCTTCTAATCTCAGAGGTCCCAGCTGCCACTGCATCTTGACTCTCATGCTGGCCCTCTGCTGGTGCCTGGCCCTAACCCAACACACCTCATCATGGAGGACTGTGGGAACCACTGAGACCTTGTGCTGAGCACAGAAATAGTACAGCCTCAGGCACATCCATCAGGCCCAGATGCCATCGTGTGGCTGCAGCACCAGCAGGGCCTTCATAGTGGTTTCCCAGACTATACCATGAGAGTAGGAAAGGACCCATGTCCTTCACTCCCCTGAATATATGTGTTCATTTCTAACATGCCTCCATGTCTGTTCACCCTACTCTTTTCTCCCAGTGTCAGTTCTCTCATTTGTCCTCACTGATGCCGCCATTTTTTTCCTCTAGCTGTAAGGGTCACAGAATTTTAGCTGTCCACATGGCTTCTCTGAATAACAATTATGTTTTCCACCTTCTTTTGCATCTGAGTGGTCAGGTGACTGACCTCTGCTAAGGGATATAAGCAAAGTGATCAAATGTGGGTGTATGGCTTTCTTTACTTCTTTTTTTCTTTACTGGGTGAGATGCAGATGAGGTACACAGAGCTACAGCAGCTATCTTGGACTATGAGGCAACCTTGGAATAAGGATCATTGCAGAGTGAAAAATAAAAAGGTGAAGCTTGAGTCTCTTACACTGAAGAGTGCCATCCCAACCTTGAACTGCCTTCCCCAGGCAACCAGAAAGGAGAGAAACACGTTCTATCCTGTTTCAACCACTGTTTAGACTTCCCGTCACTCAGCATCAAGGCTCCTCCTGCCATATCTCCTCTATCTCTTCTCTCTCTCACATTCTACCTGAGTTGAAGTGGGAGTTTCTGCTTTGTCTTTCTGACTTGTAGAGATGCTATTCCATTCTTGTGGAACCCTAAGTCTCCCGGCTCAGCTTTTCTTTTCTTCTTTTGGCGGGGGAGTAGGGAGGACAAAATCTTATGCTTGCCCAGGCTAGAGTGCAGAGGTGTGATCATGGCTCACTGCAGCCACAATTTCCCAGGTCCAGGCAATCCTCTGCCCTGCCTCCCCGCTTGCCTCCCAGGTAACTGGGAATACAGGTACATACCACCAAATCCAGATAATTTTTTAAATTTAGGGTAGAGACAAGGTCTTACTATGTTGCCCATGCTGGTCTCAAACTCTTGAACTCAAGTGATCTTCCCATCTCAGCTTCCCAAAGTACTGGGATTACAGGCATGAGATATCATGCTCTCTTGACTCAGCCGTTTTGACAGAAGCAAGCAGAGGTCCTCCTCTTGGAGAAATAGATGATCTCATCTTCCAGGCCTGACTTCTAATGAGTTAATCAGAATGTATAAAAATTTAGAAAAGTATTTTTCAAGAGGCTAACTTACTACAGACTCAACAAAATTTTCTACCTGATGTTAAAAGCTGTGCCTTTCCCTCTTTTTGCAGTCTCAGTAGAATAATCATGATTCTCCCTGAGACAGCTGAATACTTTGGACAATGTGGGAGGTAGTGATTGTGGGAGGTAAGTTGGAAATGATGCACCTAAAAAGGGAGAAATGAAAGAATGTGAACACATTTAAGAACCGTGGCATCGCCATTACATATGCACGTATGTATATGTACACTCACAGCACTCGTAGCATGTGTGGGTGGATATATACACATATGCAGTATATAATTAAGTAATTCCTGCCCAACCAACATTAAGTGTAAACAAAATACATTAACTGTAATTTGTTCAGGATCGGACCCCCTTCCCAGCTGGCAAAGAACCTCATAACCTCTTCCCACTCCTGCCCCCAACAAATACCCCTCTCCCCCAGTTATTCCTGAATAGGGTCTCTAGGGTCTCGCTGGCTTAAAGCCTCAGTGAGCATGTCAAAAAGAACCCATCTCTATGTCCCTTGCCATGGTGTAGATTTGAAGAGCTGAGAGAGGGCTGGTGGAAGCACCCACTGCCCCCTGTGTTGAGTACCTTTGCCAAGTATGCAAACTACACAACTGTGCATGACAGCCTGCTGCCTAAAAGCCACTCACAAGAGACAATTCTCTGTGCGTCAAACGCCCCTGCCCTTCAAAAGCAGGACTTCTCCCTCTCTAGGGGTTCCCCTCTCGGCCTTTCCAGACTTGTCAAACTCTTGAGATATGTCTCTCTTTTAGTCATGATTATGTGGCTGTTTGGTCACTCTGCATACTGCCCAGATATGGGGCAAGTCTCTCTCTCTTGGCTCCAGATCACTGAGTCCCAGATCAATACTGCTCACTAAATTTAATAAAAATCCCTGATGTAAACACCTCATGAATACCAGCCTCTTCCTTGGTGACAAAACTTCATCTCACCATTCATTCTTCTGCCTCCCCATTTCCCATCCAAGGACCCAAGCACATAATCTGATCCCCTAGGTCTTCCCCCCCTGCACACCCCGTCCCATCTCATCCTGCAGGAGGCTCCCCTGAGTTTCTGGGCTCCCGCCTGGCACTCCTTCAGCAGCTTCAATGCATTGTGTTCCTTCCGCTAAGCATGAGCTGTCTCCTGTGCCCCAGATGGTGGCCCACCTCACCCCCAAATCAATATGTGTAGCCCCAGCTTGCCCTTCAGATCTTAGGTCAAATATCACCTGTTCAGGGCTGCCATCTCTGCACATGGCCTCTCTCCGACTGTCCTCTTTCAGGAGCACTTGTTATACTCTCAGTGCCCCACCCCTCTTTTTTAATGCTTTGCACAAATTGTTTTCTTTCATTTCTGTGTGCCAGATCTATGTGGACACTGATTCTAAGAGTAGCTTGAGGATATCTTGTTCCATGACTTCACTGCCTCCCTTGGAAACAGGCATCATACAGGACATCAGAGGAAATGAATACAGAGTAAATCCCTCCAAAGCATACAAAACCTAAGAATACAGGCTCCTAGGTAAAAACCTTCTGATGGAAAATGAAATAAAATGAGATAACAATCTAAAAATTGTTTAGAAGAAAAATATACCATAAGAAACCACAGTTTTTGCCAGGCACGGTGGCTCACACCTGTATTCCTAGCACTTCGGAAAACCGAGGCAGGCAAATCACTTGAGGTTAGGAGTTCGAAACCAGCCTGGCCAACATGGTGAAACCCCATCTCTACTAAAAACACAAAAAATTAGCCTGGCATGGTGGCAGGCACCTGTAATCCCAGCTACTTGGGAGGCTGAGGTAGGAGAATCACTTGAACCCGGGAGGTGGAGGTTGCAGTGAGCCAAAATTGCACCACTCCACTCCAGTATGGGTGACGGAGTCTTGCTCTGTCTCAAAAACAAAAAACAAAACAAAACAAAAGCACAGCTTTTTTGGGTATTTTCTTTGATATATCCGGGTGGACATCTGCAGGAATGTCTGTATACTTGACTTTAGTTGAAACAACAGTGTAATAGTGAATACTGGCTGGCCTATCTAATGCTGTGTAGCCAAGCAATGTTGATTGATCCAACTTCCCTGTTTGAATGCTATACCTCATCATTGCCTATGCAAGCCATAGAGCTTTTTTCTATATGCCAGTTCTCAGGACAATCTCTTTTTTGGCCTCTGTCAAATCTTTTCTGAGATGCAAACAGAGTTGTGTAGTTGCTGGATTCAATAGGCTCTCAAAACCCCACTGTGTACCTACCTCTCTTTTAACTTTTCATTTAGTATCATCACACTGGGAGGTCAAAATTGGCTATGGTGGGAATGTCACCAAAAAGAAATAAGCCAACAGCATAAATCAGGGCTTTATTTCAAAGTGCCAGTTGTTCAACCTTTCCCAGCACATCACTGGAGATAAAAAAAAAAATCATAACCAAATCAAGAATCCTGTTTTTAAACAAGTTACTTTAGGGCCACCAAGTCCTGATCATATTTCTTCTATTCCACTGAAAAGATCATGTAGATCTACTATTTGGCATGGTATTGTTAAACCTTCCATACACTTCTTGGGTGAAATTCTGAAGCCACAGTATGACAAAATAACAAAATAAATAAGCCTCTGATATAGAAGTTTCTCATTTAACTTAGAGTTGCTTATCATCTAACCTCATTGACACTGATTATGGAATTTCCATGCATCCCTTTTCTCATTTGGTTAAAAAAAAGGTGAATGGGTTGCTCCATAGGTCAGAAACAATACAGGAGATGTGACAGGGGGGTGGGGGGGGGTGGCTGTGGCTGAGATCCACAGGACACCTGGCTCCTGTGCTCTACAGATTCCCCTCCCCCTACCTGTTACCTCCGGTTCCCATGACAGCTCTGATTTCCTCCCACTCCAATTCTTTTCAAATTATTATAAAATGGACTTCATGAATAATAAGAACTTTTAAGAATAAATATTAAAAGAAATAATTTAAGAGTAAGGGTCAGAAACCTCATTGAGATGAATGACAAATTCTGCCAATAGTTACCCTCACTAAGTTTTAAAAATAGGGAAGACTCCTTCCATTAATATAACTAGTGATGGCCATAAATATTCCTTCCTCTTCTTTTAAGCTTTGGAGTAAAACAACTCTATATTTAAACTTATACAAAATCACATAAATTCTCCATCTGCAGCCCGATTCTGATAATATGTCCTTTGGGATCCATCTCCCTCTCTATTTTTACTTGATGTGAATTTATAAATGTATAATACAATCTTCTGGCTCTTTTGGTGCAGAGAATTTCCATTATAGGGCAAAAGCCATCAGTGTCTTTAAACACTCACACCCACACTCCTAAACAGACAGGAGCATTCTGTCCCATAAGAAACATTTATACAAAACGTAGCATGACCTTAAGACAGACAGAAAGGAGGATGACTGTGGAAACTTGAAACCAATGAAGTGAGAGCTGACACTTGCATGATATTTATGATGTGTCAGACGTTGTTCCAAGCACCTTATGTGTATTAACACATGTAATCTTCTCCAGATTCTTAGAGATAGTAATTGGTATTATCCCTACTTAATGGTAGACAAAATCAGGGCAAAAAGAGGTTACGTGACTTTCCTGGTAGCACATACTGGTAGGTAAGTAACAAAGCTGGAATTCAAACCTTGCATTCTGGCTCTAAAATTTATATCACTATACCAGCTCCCCAAAGGCATGAGGTAGAATCATCCAACTGCAGCCCAGTGCAAAAGGTGTGCTTCATTTGCTTGTCTCTTGAAACTACCTCAACCTGTGTTTCTGTGAAATCCAGAAACTCTCACATCAGAAGGACCTTGGCAATAAATGTAAGCCCTTATGCTATAGATTAGGAAGACACCCCAGATAAATGGGTTTGCTATCAAGAGAATAAAGGGAAAGACACCACACTGTACTTTAATAATATAAAGGTTGGGAATATTTAAACTGCTCTTTCAAAAGATACTTTAAGTTACCCCTAAAATACAACAAATACATTTTTCATTTTTTTGGTAATTCTTATTTACATTAATGTTAGATAGCCAATGATAACCAAGGAAAGGACTAAAAAGAAAGTCTACCATGCTGCTGCCTAGACCTTCAAAACCAGAATCTGCCTTTCAGATAATTATCCAGTCCCAGTAATGTGTGGAGAATGGTGGAAATTCTTTAAATGTTACCATGTGCAAACAAGAATTAATCAGTTTTGCAATAAATTTCAGCTTCTAAAACAGTTATTACCTCCACAAAGCATATAATAGATTTATCTGAGATAGTATGAGTGAAAATACCCATAATATGAAGTGGGTATTTTGTAAATTTTGATAATATGAGTGGAATGCATCATGCTCAATCCATGGTTTGAACCCAAGTCTATTTTGATCAGATTTACTTATCCAATGTCTTTTTAAGTCACAAAGAAGAACCACCCTGCTTAGCTTTCTATTTCCTATTGAGAGCCTGCTAACCAGTTCTCTTACTCATGCCTTAGGCCAGGACAATGAAGCCTCATCTACTGTGGAGGTTAGAGTTGATATTAAATGTACATGTGATATACGGATCTAGATTCCATACTAGAAATACATACACAGTGTTATAAGAGTATTAACTCCCAGCTACCTGGAGATGGACTAAAGATTAGTTTTAGCATATCTTCTTGAGGAGAGAACATTTGCATTTTGGGAAATAAATAAATTCTATAAGGCAGGATGGGTAGAAAATCATAATCCAGACAGCAGTATCAGAATGTGCAAATGCATGGAAGCTTGAAAGAACATGGGATGTTTGGGGAACCACATGCAACTCCTCAGGCCTACAGCAGGTTCATCCTTTAAAGTACTTTTCAAAAACTTGGAACATCTTATTGAGGTAGCAATGTTTAAAGCTGTATAGGAAGGTAGATGCAAGTCAGCCAAGGTCTCAGGCATCAGGACAAAGGACTATGAAGCTAATTTTGCAAGTAACCTTGATGGAAGTTTCAAATAGGAAGACAGCATCATATTTGTGCTTTAGAGAGTTCCCATGGTCAGCAACAGGATATATACATTGCCCAGTTAGGAAGCAATTGGAATTGTCCAGGTAAAAGGAGATTAGAGTGTAAACTGAGAAAGTGCCGCTGAGAAAAGTGAAAGGAAACAAATACTATTTAAATT